AAAGAGAGGTCTTCCATCCGCTGGTTCACTCCCCAGTTGGCCGCAAAGGCTGGAGCTGCACCGATCCGAAGCCAGGAGCCAGGAGTTTCCTCTGGGTCTCTCACATGGGTGCAGGGGCGCAAGGAATTGGGCCATCCTCTACTGCTTTCCCAGGCCATAGCAGAGAGCTGGATTGGAAGGAGGGCAGCCAGACCCGTACCAGCACCTATATGGGATGCCAACACTGCAGGTGGCAACTTTACCCGCTACGCCACAGCACCGGCCCCTTTAGTTCTTTTTTTCTAAATAATCTACTACTGACTCCAAACCTATTATCTCTAGAGGCCAAACCTGAGACTCAGCTGTAAATCTACAAGGCTCTTTCTATCACCTATGCTCTTGATCCTGTTCAAGAGCCGGCATCATCAATTTTCTTCATGCTCCTTATCTTTAATCAGTCTCAACCTATCCATTGTACCTCCTGGATCCTACTCACCAATGATTAATACAGGTATGTCTCTCTACCTCAAAAAGGCCAGTAAACAGAACTGGCGTTGCGGCACAGTGGGTTAAGCTACTACTTGTGCTGTCAGCATCCCGTATCAGAGTGCTGATTCGATTTCCAGCTGCTCCACTTCCAAACCAGCTCCCTAATAATGCACCTGAGAAGGCAGTAAATGATTGCCCAAGTGCTTGGATCCCTGCTATCCATGTGTGAGATCCAGATGGAGTTTCTGGCTCCTGGCTTCAGACTAGCCCAGCTCTGGCTATTGTAGCCATTTGGAAAGTGAACCAGTACATGGAAGATCTCTCCCCCACTGCCAACCCCGATGCTTTGCCTTTCAAATAAACAAATACACAAATCTTTTTTTAAAAAGGCCAGCAAGGGGCTGGTGCTGTGTTGCAGCGGGTTAAAGCCCTGGCCTGCAGCACCGACATCCCATATGCATGCTGGTTCAAGTCCTGGCTGCTCCACTTCCAATCCAGCTCCCTGCTAATGCAAACAAGGGAGGGCAGCAGAGGATGGCCCAAGTCCTTGGGCCCCTGCACCCACATGGGAGACCAGGAAGAAGCTCTTGGCTCTTGGTTTTGGACTGGCTCAACTCTGGCCATTGCGGCTATTTGGGGAGTGAACCAGCAGATGGAAGACCTCTTTCTCTCTCTCTACCTCTGTAACTGTCTTTCAAATAAACAAAATCAATCTTTAAAAAAATTTTAAAAAAATAAATAAATAAATGGCCAGCAAGATTGGAGTCAGTGGCACATTTTCAGCAGGTTATAGTATATTATTTTTGGTGAACAGAACTGGACCTTCACACAATTATGTCTAAGGGACCCGCAGTTGGCACTGATCTTGGCACCACCTACTCTTGTGCTGGTGTCTTCTAGCATGTGAAAGTAGAGAAAATTGCCAATGAACAGGGCAACTGAACCACCCCAAGCTATGTCACCTTTACTGACACTGAAAGACTGATCGGTGATGCTGCAAAGAATCAAGCTGTAATGAACTCTACCAACATGGTTTTTGATGCCAAATGATTGGATGCAGATTTGATGATGCTGTCATCCAATCCAATAAGAAACACTGGCCCTTTATGGTGGTATATGATGCAGGCAGGCCCAAGATCCAAGTAGAGTACAAGGGAAAGACAAAAAGTTTCTATCCAGAGGAGGTGTCATCAATGGTTTGGACAAAGATAAAGGAAACTGCAGAAGCCTACCTTGGGAAGATGGTTACCAACGTTGTGGTCACAGTGTCAGCTTACTTCAGTGACTCAGCATCAAGCAACCAAATATGCTGGAACCATTGCTGGTCTCAATGTACTTAGAATTATCAATGAGCCAACTGCTGCTGCTATTGCTTATGGCCTAGACAAAAATGTTGGGGCTGACAGAAATGTGCTGATTTTTGACTTGGAAGATGGCACTTTTGATGTGTCTGTCCTCACAATCAAAGATGGATTTCGAGGTCAAATCCACAGCTAGTAACACCCACTAAAGTGGAGAAGACCTTGACAACTGACAACAATTTATTGCCAAGTTCAAGTGCATGTATAAGGACATCAGTGAGAACAAGAGAGCTGTCAGGTGCCTCTGTACAGCTTGTGAACAAGCTAAACATACCCTCTCTTCCAGCAGCCAAGCGAACACTGAGATAGATTCTCTCTATGAAGGAATTGACTTCTATCCCTCCAACACCCGTGCTCGATTAAGAGTTAAATGCTGATCTTTTCTGCAGCACCCAGGACTCTGTCAAGAAAGCCCTTTGAGACACCAAGTTAGATAAGTTGCAGATCCATGATATTATTGTCCTGGTGAGAGGTTCTACAAGAATTCCCAAGACTCAGAAGCTTCTTCAAGGCTTCTTCAATGGAAAATAACTGAGTAAGAGCATCAACCCTGATGAGGCTGTTGCCTATGGTGCAGCTGTCCAGGCAGCCATCCTGTCTGGAGACAAATCTGAGACTGTTCAAGATCTGTTGCTGCTGGATGTCACTCCTCTACTGTTTGGTATTGAAACTGCTGGTGGAGTCATGACTGTCCTCATCAAGTGCAATACTTCCATCCCTACCAGCAGACACAGACTTTCACCACATACTCTGACAACCAGCCTGGTGTGCTCACTCAGGTTTATGAAGGTGAGTGTGCCCTGACCAAGGATAACAATCTGCTCGGCAAGTTTGTCCTCAAACTTTGGCAAATAAATAAGCAAATAAAAATAAAAAGGTCAGTAAGCAAACAAATAAAATCATTAGATCCTACATTCTACAATATATCTAATTTTCATCCCAAGGAGCTGTCTATACTGCTATTTCTATGTTCTCATCTCCTATTCATTCAATTATCCACTGACCTTTTCACTCCACAGAAGTATTTTTTTACCAACATCACTAGTAACCAACTTGTTCCTTCACACATAGGAAGAGCACTAGGCTAAATATTAATATGATTAAGGTTTTTGATGTCTAGTCTGATCAGGTGGCTTCAGAATCCCAAATAAAAAGATTTGGGTCGTGGGCAGGATTTTTAAGGATCCTTCCAAATCTATAGTCACTATTAAATGAAATTCAAATTGCATGCTGGAAAAAAGAATTTGAATGTTTACCATTCTTATCATAGAACTTAAGTGGTTTTGATAGCCTTTAAAGAAAAAAGTTGATGTGACAGTGAGGAGAGGCTGTGTTCTTGGTTGGCTGCTGAGCTCCAGAGACCTGAGGTCTAGCCACTTTCCTCACAGACTCCATAACTACAGCTTCCTTCCAAGTAGAGCCCCAGATGAACCACCAGGAGGGCAAACATGGCCTACAAGGGAGGCCAAAGATAAATATTATTTTTTTAAAGATCTATTTATTTACTTGAAAGAGTTACACAGAGAAAGAAGGAGAGGCAGAGAGAGAGAGAGAGAGAGAAGAGAGGTCTTCCATCTCCTGGTTCACTCCCCAGATGGCTGCAACGGCCACAGTTGCACTGATCTGGAGCCAGGAGCCAGGAGCTTCTTTCAGGTCTCCCACGTGGGTGCAGGGGCCAAAGGACTTGGGCCATCTTCTACCACTTTCCCAGGCCATAGCAGAAAGCTGGATTGGAAGTAGAGCAGCTGGGACTACAACCGGCGCCCATATGGGATGCAAGCGCTGTAGGCAGCGGCTTTATCTGCTATGCCACAGTGCCGGCCCCCAAAGATAAATATTCTGGATTATCTCTGAATAAATTGTCTGTGGCCAGCATTGTGTCATCCCATATGAGTCTTGGCTGCTCCACTTACAATCCAGCGCCCTGCTAATACACCTGGCCCAAATGCACGGACCCCTGCACCCACATGGGAGACCCAAAAGACCCTCGCTCCTAGCTTCAGCCTGGCACAGCCCTGGCCATTGTGGCCATTGGTGGAGTCAATCAGCAGATGGAATATCTCTCTTTAACTCTGCTTTTAATATGAATAAAATAAATCTTAAAAAAATAAAATTTCCTGGGGCCGGTGCTGTGGCACCGTAGGTTAATCCTCCACCTGAAGCACCAGCATCCCATATGGGCATCAGTCCTAGTCCCTGATCCAGCTCTCTGCTATGGCTTGCGAAAGCAGTAGAAGATGGCCCAAGTCCTTGGGCCCCTGCACCTATGTGGGAAACCCGGAAGAAGCTCCTGGCTCCTGGCTTTGGATCAGCACAGCTCCAGCCGTTGCGGCCATTTGGGGAGTGAACCAGCAGATGGAAGATCTTTCTCTCTGTCTCTCCCTCTCACTGTCTATAACTCTACCTCTCAAATAAATAAATAAATAAAGTCTTTAAAAAAATAAAATTTTCTGTTACATTTCCATTACATATTGCTTCATATCTTAACATCAAGAACACTTGATCAGAAATGAGCAGGCTTCCCTACTTGATCAGCAACCACATTAACTCACACTGCAGAATTCATATACATGCTCTCTGGTTGGTTTAAGAAATCTAACTGAACACTTGCCTTTTGGGCCACTACAGTGGTACAATGGGTTAAGGTGCTGCCTACAATGTCAGCATCTCATATGATGCCAGTTCAAGTCCCAGCTGCTCCACTTGTGTTCCAGTTCCATGCTAATATTCCTAGAGAAGCAGGGAAGATGGTCTAAGTGTCTGGGTCCCTGCCACCCATGTGGGAGACCTGGATGGAATTCTGGGCTCTTGACTTTGGCCTAGCCCAGTCCCAGGTATTGCAGCCATTTGGAGAGTCAACCAACAGATGGAAGTTCTTTCTCTCCCTCTGTAACTTTCTCTTTCAAATAAATAAATCACTGAAAAAAACAAACAAAACATGTGCCTTTTGTTCAAAGCCAGACTGCAATTAAAAGCACAACTGTGAGAGCCTGAGTATGGTTAACTTAGAGAAGAGTCGTGTACTCGAGGTGTAGCTCCAAAGATTATGAGTGGGCTTTACCAAGAAAACGCCTGTGCACACCCCCTTCCTTTGTAGCACATGCAAATCCAGCCACTGCATGCAAATACCAGACTTAGGCACAAAAACAACACATCTCAATCAACACTCACCCTCTAGAATCTCCAGAATGGAGCTGGACATGAGGGCTCACTGTGGTTAGGCCATTTCTCTGCTGAACCTGATGGCTGGTGTTCCAAGTCAGACATAAACTGGTCTGTGTCAAAGAAGACAGTATCACTACTGAATGGAACAAACCAGAGGGTGAACTTAATCTAAAACAGTGCCCAGCCTGTTTTTTCTATAATTAAAAGGAATTTATCTGACCTTTATCAGTCAATCATAGCATAAAATATCCACATTTTGTCAGATAATATGAATGCTGTAGTCCAGACAGTTTAGGTAACAGATGATTTCTTTTCATTAAAATTAGGACAGTAACTTTTTTTTTTTTTTTTTTTGACAGGCAGAGTGGACAGTGAGAGAGAGAGACAGAGAGAAAGGTCTTCCTTTTGCCGTTGGTTCACCCTCCAATGGCCGCCACAGCTGGCGCACTGCGGCCAGCGCACCGCGCTGATCCGATGGTAGGAGCCAGGAGCCAGGTGCTTTTCCTGGTCTCCCATGGGGTGCAGGGCCCAAGCACCTGGGCCATCCTCCACTGCACTCCCTGGCCACAGCAGAGAGCTGGCCTGGAAGAGGGGCAACCGGGACAGAATCCGGCGCCCCAACCGGGACTAGAACCCGGTGTGCCGGCGCCGCAAGGCGGAGGATTAGCCTAGTGAGCCGCGGCGCCAGCCGGACAGTAACTTTTAACTCTAAAAACTATTTTTAAATTGTGGGGTACAGTGTGATAATTCCACACATATATACAATGTATATGGATCAAATCCAAGTAACTGACATTTTCATCTCCTTAAATCCTTATCACTTCCATGTGTTGGGAACCTGTGAATTCCTCTCTTCCAGTTCTTTATGAAATATGTAATAAGCCATTGTGAACTAGTCACTCTACTGTACTGCAGAACACTAGTATTTATTTGAAAGGACACCAATTTTAAAAGAATTACAATTACGGTTTTCAATGGTTTTAAAGATAAATTTGGACGGCACCACGGCTCACTAGGCTAATCCTCTGCCTGCGGCGCCGGAACCCCGGGTTCTAGTCCCGGTTGCTCCTCTTACAGTCCAGCTCTCTGCTGTGGCCCAGGAAGGCAGTGGAGGATGGCCCAAGTGCTTGGACCCTGCACCCGCATGGGAGACCAGGAGGAAGCACCTGGCTCCTGGCTTCGGATCGGCACAGCGCGCCAGCCGTGGAGGCTATTTGGAGGGTGAACCAGCGGAAGGAAGACCTTTCTCTCTGTCCCTAACTCTGCCTGTCAAAAAAAAAAAAAAAAAAAAAAGATAAATTTAGTTTTAAATAAACTAGTTTTTTTTTAAAAAAGATTTTATGTATTTGACAGGTAGAGTTACAGACAGTGAGACAGAGACAGTGAGAAAGGTCTTTCTTTCCGTTGGTTCACCCCCCCAAAATGGCCACTACGGCCAGCATGCTGCACCGATCTGAAGCCAAGAGCCAGGTGCTTCCTCCTGGTCTCCCATGCGGGTGCAAGAGCCCAAGCACTTGGGCCATCCTCCACTGCCCTCCCAGGCCACAGCAGAGAGCTGGACTGGAAGAGGAGCAACCAGGACTAGAACCCGGCGCCCATATGGGATACAGGCGCCACAGGCAGAGAGAGGATTGACCTAGTGAGCCACGGCGCCGGCCCCAATAAACTACTTTTGATTAGAGTTATTAATAGTCCCCAAATACCTGGCTATGGCTACAACACAATTATCTGGGCATTATTTATATAAAAAATATAAACTCTTTGTCTTTTGATAAAAATATAAACTCTCAGACCACAAAGTCAAAGTACTCATGGTTGGCAACCCCATAAATGTAAACGCAGCCAAATTCGGGAGTCACAGGGCATACTTCATAAAGTAAAATTCACATCCATTAGCAGTTTCTGAAATCAATTCAGCAGGTTGTAGTTTTTTTTTTTTTTTTAAAAAGCACTAGAACTAAATTAAAGATAGCCGACTGCATTTCTCTTAAATGAAAATTAAAAATTGGTTTGAGAGACTTTCATGGTAGTACTAAGTATGTACAGCATTTTTGTGTGTGTAGATCTTATTATAAAATTTATATCTTTTTTAATATTTATTTTTCCTTACTTATTTCAAAGTCAGAGTTACAGAGAGGCAGAGGCAGAGAGAGAGAGCTCTTCCATCTGCTGGTTCATTCTCCAAATGGTTGGAACAGCCGAAGCCAAGACTGATCCGAAGCCAGGAGCCAGGAGCCAGGGGCCAGGAGCCAGGAGCTTCTTCCAGGTCTCCTATGTGGATGCAGGGGCCCAAAGACTTGGGCCATCTTCTACTGCTTTCTCAGACCATAGCAGAGAGCTGGATCAAAAGTGGAGCAGCTGGATCTTGAACTGGTACCTGGGGATGCTGGCACTGCAGATGACGGCTTTAACCACTACACCACAGCGCTGGCTCCTGAATATCTTTTTTTTTTTTTTTTTTTTAAAGATTTATTTGAAAAAGTACAAAGAGAGAGAGAGAGAGAGAGATCTTCCATCTGCTGGTTCACTCCCCCAATGGCCACAGTGACTGGGGCTGGGCCAGGAGCTTCTTCTGAGTCTCTCATACGGGTGCAGAGGTCCAAGGACTTGGACCATCTTCTGCTGTTTTCCAGGTCATTACCAGAGAGCTGGATCAGAAGTGGAACAGCCAGGACTCAAACTGGTGCCCACATGGGATGCCAGCGCTGCAGGTGGAGGCCTAATCTGCTACGCCACAGCGCCGGCCTCTAAAATGTGCTTTTTCTTTTTTCTTTTCTTTTTTTTTTTTTTGACAGGTAGAGTTACAGACAGTGAGAGAGACAGACAGAAAGGTCTTCCTTCCGCTGGTTCACTCTCCAAATGGCCGCTATGGCCGGCGCTGCGCCAATCCGAAGCCAGGAGCCAGGTGCTTCCTCCTGGTCTCCCATGCGGCTTCAGGGGCCCTAACACTTAGGCCATCCTCCACTGCCCTGCCGGGCCACAGCAGAGAGCTGGACTGGAAGAGGAGCAACCAGGACTAGAACCTAGTGCCCATATGGGATGCTGGCACCGCAGGCAGAGGATTAACCAAGTGAGCCATGGCACCGGCCCCTAAAATGTGTATTTTATCATGGGAAGTTGTCAAAAGTGTCTGAAAGTCACTGTACTCAACAACAATCACTACTGGTCAGTTTAGCAACTACCAGTAGTTAGTTTAGTCAATGGTAATGAATAAAGCACTCAGATGCCCAGTTAGAGTCTAAAATATAGTAATAGAATAGGTAGAACCTCCTCCTTTGACCTATAAGGCACTATATTTGGACTTAACCCTTGAAGAGAAGATCCTGTGTGTAACCTTTGTGAATGCTAATTATTACCCTAATCTTAGACAAAAGAAGGAAAACAAAGGAAGAACTATCTGTATAAAATACACCCTCTAGACTAACGTGGTAAATAGAAACCAAAACCTAGAAATCCTATGCTTAGGCATAATCTCTCCTTCTTTTTTTTTTTTTTTTTTATTATGAAATTTGAGATCCCTCTACCTAGTCTTTAAGGGTCAGTTAAAGATTATAAAGTGTTTTAAGGGGCTGGTGCTGTGATGTAGTGGATAAAGCCGCTGCCTGCAGTACCGGCATCCCATATGGGCACTGGTTTGAGACCCGGCTGCTCCACTTCCGATCTAGCTCTCTGTTATGGTCTGGGAAAGCAGTAGAAGATGGCCCAAGCCCTTGGGCCCCTGCACCCGAATGGGAGACCTGGAAGAAGCTCCTGGCTCCTGGCTTCAGATTGGCGTAGCTCTGGCTGTTGCGGCCATCTGGGGAGTGAACCAACGTGTGGAGGACCTACCTATCTACCTACCTATCTCTGTCTGTCTGTCTGTCTCTCTCTCTCTGCCTCTCCTTTGCTCTCTCTGTAACTCTTTCAAATAAATAAATAAATCTTTAAAAAAAAAGTATTTTGAAGCTGGAATACAGTCAAAAGTATCCTTTTTGTTGGTGCCTAATTTCTAAAACTGAAGACTCCAAAAACAGACTTGAAGATATAGAATATGTGATTCTAAGTAAATCAGAACATACATTAGATGACATAAGCCAAGAAACAAAGCTAAGATGCCAACAGACACTGCAGGGGGCTTTTATGAATTGACTAAGTGGTAACTTCAGATTTTGCTTTATGTTTTATGGAAATTTGGTCCTTCCAGTTCTTTGAAGTATTATTTTTAAGTTTGATTTATTTACTGTTTATTCGAAAAGGAGAGTGGCAGAAATAAAGGAAGACACACACACACACACACACACACACACACACACTGATCAGGAGGGAGGAAATACATCTTACATCTGTTAGTTCCCAAAATGCCTGCAACAGCTAGGGTTGGGCTAGACCAGGCTAAAGTCAGGTACCAGGATCTCCATTTGGGTCTCCCATGTGAGTGGCAGGGATCCAAGTACTTGAGCCATCATCTGCCGACTCCCAGGCACATGAGCAGGAAGCAGAGGTGAGAATCAATCCCAGGCATCCTGATAGAGGGTGCGAGGCCCAAAGTGGCAGCTTAACCACTGCACTACAATTTCTCTTCCTCAGGCACTGTTGACAGCTCAAAAAAATACTTCAAGCATCTCTCCTCACAAAAACCCTGACCAACCGTTTATAGAAGACACAACATTATTCCTTCTGAAACTATTCCAAAACATTAAAGAAAACACTTCCTAACTTTATAGGACTAGCATTATGCTGGTATCAAAACCAGCAAAATAGCAGCAAACCAAATTCAGAAACATACATCATGGCCAAGTGGGTTTTATTCCCAGAGTGAAGGATGAATTAACATGAAAATCAATCAATGCAGCATCACATTAGAATGAAGGGAGAAAAAACACAGGATCATCTTGACTTATATGTATAAATCATTTGACAAAATTCAAAGTTCAATACAAAACACTCAATAAACTAGGAATAGAAGGAATTTTCTCAATGTGATAAAGATCATATACTAAAAACTCAAAGCTAACATGATATTCAATGATGAAAGACTGAAAGCTTTCCCCTAAGATCAGCAAGTCAAAGATGTCCTTTCTATCTTTTCCTTTCAACTATTTCTGGAGAAGTTCTATCCAGAGCAATTATGTTAGAATAAGAAATAAAGGTAGGGCC